TTTAGATTGTTAAATATAAATTACAAACGCTAGCCTGAAGAATACTATTAAGCGTTAATGAACTTTACCTTTTCCCGGTCAAGAGGTGCGGCTATTTTTATGTAACCTTTCTCCCTATCCACAGAAAAGTGACCATACCTATCCCCTTGGATAATGAAGTAGGACAGCTGGGCATTGGGAGTGCTGTCTATATCGCTAGCTTTTACCTGGTTTACAGAAAAACAAAGAAGAATATTGGGTATAAGAAAAAAATAAAAGTTATATCTAGTTTACACAATTTATAATTTTGAGACATATTCAAAGACTTATCACGTTCGTAGGTGATTCAGTTTCCCAATAAGATAATTTCACAGGACATTCACGTGTTTACACTATTCTATATCCTTCACCTTCAAAGTTCCGATAAGAACAAACGTGTCTAAATATTTCTGTATTCCAATAAGACGATCCTACAAATTACAGCCTTACCTAGACCATCCAACAGAATACCAGTGGCGTAGCTACAATGTATGTTTGTAAGCTCTAGCATACACATCATTTTCACAACTATTTGTTGCCCGGCATGGCCAGGTGGTGGTTAGGGCACTCGACTTGCAATCTGTGGGTCACGGGTTCGAATCGCCGTCCCACCAAACATGCTCGCCCTTTCAGACGTGGGGGCGTTATAATGTGACGGTCAATCCCACTATTCGTTGGTAAAATAGTAGCCCATGAGTTGGCGGTGGGTGTTGAGGACTAGCTGCCTTCCCTCTAGTCTTACACTGCTAAATTAGGGACGTCTAGCGCAGATAGCTCTCGTGTAGCTTTGCGCGAAATTCAAAACAAACAAACACAACTATTTTTTAAGATATACAATATATATATTTAATGTATAAACATAAAATATAAAGAAATATGAAAGTAATGTATTCCTATTCGTTCATTCAAATTTTATATTCAATATATCACTGGTTATAACGACTGCCTCCACACACGTTTGATGTTGGTTACGACACATAATACAGCCTTAACTAGACGATCTTACAACCCTCAGAAGCTTCTTCGCATAATAAAAATGCGCTTAAGTGTTTCAGCTGCTGTTGTTCTACAGAATAAAGACTTGTATTAACGTAATACTTATTTCAATGCTTTTGTAACTTCTTCGGAAGAAAAAATAACATTTCCCCGAGATATCTATAGAATAATCTTCACAATAACCACTCCAACCTGGATTATTCTGTATCCCACTGAGGCATCTTCCCGAACAATGGTTTGGTATGAAGCCTGACTGAAGACAGGGGTGTTGTCATTGGCATCCAACACAGAAATGTTGACAGTTGCATGTGTTGTGAGGGATGGTGTCCCACCATCTTTTGCTTCAATAGTTAAGAAGTAGTTCTGGATATCTTCATAATCTAGTTGCTTCATCACAGTGATAACACCTGGTAACAGAGAATTGAAGGAAAGTTACCACGTCAGTTATCAAAATATAAAATAAAAATCCTTGATTATAAGATGCAAACTAACTGGTATGTAACCCTAAATACGGGAAGCAAGTATTTGCTTTGGGCTACCACTATTAACGGATTTTTTAGACGCCGAGATTAAATCTTGAAAAAGAATTAAAACACGCTGTACTTCAGTTGCACAGATACCTAGATATATTTGTTCAAACACTCCAGCCTAACGAGTTTAGCTTACTTGTTGTTTATTCACATCGAACCAAGTCTTTTGTGAGAAGTTTAATCTTTTTCTTGTTAAGGATATCCGTTAGTAAGTAATGTTTTTATTTGAAGTAAAATCGTGTAGGGAACCAGTCTGGGCCTGTTTGTTTTAGAGGAAAGCCATATTAGTCTATCTGCTGTGTCCACCGTGGGAATGAATTCCGTCTTTTAGCGTTGTAAGTCCATAAACTTACCGCTGTCCCCAATAATCCGTGAGCAAGACCAGATTTGACTACTAAACAGAGGTTCTAAATGCCACTATGGTTTTTAGTTAGTCCAGTGACTAAAATTTCTGGAAAAATGTGATGGACCTTTGAAACCTATAGCTCATTAGCTTTTTTTTTTTTGATGGCCATCTTTGGAAACGGCCGCCAATTCGCTAAATACCACTAAAACTTAAAATATACCGTGTGAAAACAATCTTGTTAAACAATAATGATTAGGGAAACGTTCAGCCAAAATAGCGATGATTATTACTGCATATTCAAATATAGATATATGCTCATCTATTTGATGAATTGGTAGTCACTAGGATCATGCCAGGCCACAAAATAAAAAACTGGAGATGCCTGTTGACATCCACAGAAAGCAAGATAAATTGACAGTTTTTAAAACAAGATGCTGGAAAGAACAACAAAGGACAGAAAAGTTTGAAAAAAAAACATGTTTGTTACATGTGGTCATCTTTGTATCGAATTTACACAAAGAGGTTAACAATAACACCAAGGTCTTGTATCTAATCAAGAAGAGGCTGGTAAACGTCTTCTGCTGCATGCCAAATACACCAAAATTATTTGGCTCTGTTTTTTGTCACTGAAGACACAGATGTTTTCATCATCTGCCAAGCTTTAAGTTGGGAGATTAATAGCAAGATCTTTATAAAATGTGGGTTCAAGTCATCCGTCAGGATTGTCGACACTACAAAAATGGCTACTGCTCTGGGAAAAGACGTATATACAACATTGTTGGGACTTCATCCATGGACTGGACAAGGAAAAATAAAAGCTTTGAAACTTCTGTCACATGATCAGAAGTTTAGGGAAGCATTTGGGTCCCTTGACACCAGCTGGCAGATTTCGGATGAGATGTTCGACATCATCCAAGAATTTACATGCCTCCTCTATTGTCGTTACACCAAAGTGGAGGAAGTCAATGAGATTAGATACCAAATGTTTCGTAGCAAAGGAGGGGAAATCGCGTCTGGGCAGCTTCCGCCATGTGACGATACCCTTCTGAAACACACACGTCGTGCAAATTACCAGGCTGCAATCTGTCAGCAGAGTTTCATTAACTCCTCAGACATTCCCAATCCCAGTGAAGGAGATGGTTGGGCAATAGATAGAGATGGCGGACTAGTTATCCAGCGGATCTCCAATCCCTGATTATATGCAACTGTTCGCGATCTTGTCGGCCAACTGACTGCACATGCATTCTTAATGGCCTCAAATGCACAGCAGCCTGCAAGCTGGTCAGCTGCACCAACATGACGAATGACGACGAAGTACAGCAGGATGAACAGGATTCGTCAGATGGTGATGAGGACTGAACAACATTGTCCTTTGTGTCATTTTACATAATAAACTTGTTTCACTGATGTTGAACTTACCTTATGTAACTAAAATGTAAGTTATAACCTAGTTTTTGTGGTATTGGGCGAAACAGCGGCCATTTTCAAAGATGGCCGTCAAAAAGTCATTAAGCTGTGGATCCCAAAGATCCATCATGTTTGTTTCAGAAACTTTAGTCAGTGGGCTAACTAAAAATCACAGTGGCTTTTAGTTATTCTGTTTGGTCGTCAGATCTTGTCTAGCTCATGGACTAGTGGGACAGCGGTAAATTTACGGACTTACAACGCTAAAAGATGGGATTCGATTCCCACAGTGGACACAGCAGATAGCCCAATATGACTTTGCTCTAAAACAAACAAGCACAGACTGGTTCCCTAACTCTGTTTGGTAGTAAAATCTCCATTCTGGGGGGTTTGACTCATGGACTACACCGGGGGACAACAAGCTTATGATTCACGCATCTATTATATTTATCAAACGATATTTCTACATACGCTTTGTTTGGTTTTGAATATCTAATTCTCTCTCTTTAAAGATTGAAAACATACAAACAAATTAGACTAAACAAAGTTTCGTTACAAAAATTCTTATCACAAAAGATTCAAACATTTTATAAAATATATGATCTGAGGATTACTGACGAAATACAGAAGTTTATGAACCTGCTCAGGGTTTACACGTATGAATTTTCAGGGTTTAACAAGTCTAAACTTGACATCTACAGATATGTACAACAGTTTTTATGGCTTACAAACGGTTTAAACGCAACGCGACAAAATGTGTGGAAAAAGTAAAGGTAGCCATAGGCGAACTACTACAGCTATATTACATACATAAAAATTTTACTCACCTGAGTTAGCGTGCATTGTGAAATAACCAAGATCGTTGCCATTGTATATAGAGTACGATATTTCTGCGTTGCTCCCAACGTCGATGCTCGTGGCTAGGACTTGAATTACTTTTCCACCAATTTCCACTTCTTCTGACACCGAGGCCCGATAATGTCTCTGCGTAAACAGTGGCGGATTGTCGTTTATATCTTGCACTTGAACATGGACAACAGCAAGGGAGGAAAGCTGAGGAAAGCCGTGGTCCGTTGCTTTTACGGTTAAGTTGTAAAAACTCACTCTTTCCCGGTCCAATTTTTTGTTCAAACTGATAATACCAATTTTTCTGTCAATCGAAAACGTTTCTTCAGCCGAATAAACGAGATCGTAGAAGACTTTTCGGTTTGGACCTGGTGAGGGAAGAATTAAAGTTTATGTTACGAATCAAACCAGTTCTAGGAGGATTAATGACGCAATGGAATCACCGACATCCTTGTATGTCTTTCAGGTATGTAAATGTGATAACCACACCGTAAAATATTCGTGATTACGCTCGTAGAGTTTTATTTTACAGGCTCGACAAAACGGCTGAATAAATTTTACGTTAGAGGCCTGAAAAAGAAAACGCGTATCCGGAACCTAAAATATATAAAAAAATAAATAAATTTATTTATGGATTGGAACGTCTTGTTTTCCCTATGATTAAAAGAGCACGGGCCGTGTAATTTTTAATCTGTTTATTAACTTTTTTTTTACAAGGTAAAATTAATTAATTTTTATACTTTAGATTATAGATCACCCATCATTTTGATACTGAACGAATTCCTGTTGCTATATGAGGCAATATTAATTGAAGGAGCACTAGACACTCTATGTAAGTTACCTAGCACTAGGCCTAGGTAAATTACTTATGTATTTCTTTTATTTATTCATCTTTCAGCAATGTTAATACAAAGACCAGTTCGTTTACGTTCTTAGTGTGTGAAACATAACATTAATGTGTGATACATAACATTAATGTTCGATGACGAGGAACCCACTTTGAGACTAATAATGGCTGGAGACGGCTTGAATGGTTAATGAAGGAAAACTTTAATATAAGTTTAACATAACAGCAAATGTACAACGTTTCGACAAGGTTTTGTCATCATCAGGTACATTG